CCCCAAAACCCCAAAACCCCAAAACCCCAAAACCCCTATACATCAGGTTTACTAGAAATAAAATGCTGAATTATAATAACTCAGTGTGTTGGATTACTCGTGTCTGAGGCGACCAAGGCCTTGAGCTTTCTGATGGGCTCATGCCATCATTCCGACCCCTGCTACGAGACTTGTACTTTCTGGATAAATCCTTTACGGATCCATTGAAGTTGAAGTATTGATTATGCTTATAATTCAACACAAATACCTTTTTCCTGTACTTCTTAATCTTCTTTTTAGGTTTATAGGGATCATCTCTGAAGACAAAATCTTTGGGAGGATGCATTGATTTCTTCTTATGATGTCTACGATGTAATCTAGCTTTCTTCATTCTCTTAATCCTTGTCAATTTCAGCTTATTAAAATCTATCAAATCATTCACTTAACAAAATCTTGGGGTTAGACTTAAGGACTCAATCATTAAGTGTAGAGTCATTGAGGAGGCTAAATATGTGACCTTAGAGCCTACTTCACATCGATTGTCTTAACTTGATTTCTTCTCCTTCTACAGCTTTTGGCTCTTTCAGGCCTACTGTTGCTTGCAAATCTTCCTTGGCTTTGCCTGAACCTAGCTGGGTCTTGCAGCTGGGATCTGATTCTTAACTGAGGACTTTTTAATCTTGATCTCTAAAAATAAGAGCAAAAATACCTTCTCAGAAGTTTTCGCAAGTTTATTATTTATCCCAAAAAGAGAACTTCCTTCCGAATTCTCTTCTTTTAAGTTAGCACCAAAAGAGGCTTCTGTTTGCTCAAAATCTAAAATATCTTCCACCACTCTTACTCCTGTTAGCTTGAATCTTAATGTTATTTATTAATAGTTGGCTTGAACTGGAACCGTTCTTTGTACCACCGAATAGAAGCCTGTAAGCCTTCATCTAGGAGGATTAGAGAAGGGATAGTACCTTTACTCGCCTTTTCAGAGTACAGCTTGTTTAGGATAGTGTTGTCATAGACCTGTGGGCGGTACAGAACCTTGCAGGGCTTCCTCCCGAAGTCGTACAGACTCCTCTGTTTTGGATTCAGCTAAAAGAAGTTTGGTGATTTGAAGTTTTTTGAGGAGAAAATGGCCTACTTTTTCCATATTATGGGAAAATAATTTAAATTATTCAAATAGTTTAGGTTATCATGGGGTTTTGGGGTTTTGGGGTTTTGGGGTTTTGGGG